TGAGTACTTTGATAGACCTAACAGAGTGAAATTTTTATTTCAATTCAGATTTATTAAAGCCTATCTCTATCTGTTTTGTTCCTTTTGGTTTCAAGTTCATTCCAGTTTTGAATGAATCCAGTTTCCATGAATTTTCATATTGCTCTGAATATTGCCAGTAGAAATTAAAATATAACCTCTTCAAGTTTTCATTTTGAAATAGTACAATAAACCAATCAATTTATGATCTGGTTAAGTAATCATGACTGAAATGTTTGAAAAAGAAGGATGTGTTTCCAGTCTTCTGCAGGGAGGTACTAAATCAAACAGGCTGCTCATAGACAACCTGCTGTTCCGAAAGGTAAATGATACATGTGCCACAGGTGCAGGGGTTTGAGGGGCAGTGTTCTCAGCTGTCATCTGCCAGCAACTACTCAGACATCCCTAAGTGTTCCCACTGATTCCACGAGTGATACTGTGATGTTACATCTGGAATGGTTGCAATTGTGTGACTTGCTCTGTTCTTCTCCAATACATTTTGAATTGTCTTTTATCTCTTCAGGTTTTTGATCAAACAAGATGGTCTTTATTGTGCATGCTTCTGTCTCAGCAGGGCTAGGACTGGTAGAAGAAAAGCCTTTCATGACAAGTTTTGACTGCACTCTTTGCCTCAGTGTACTGACTGAAAATTAGTGTCAAAGTTAAAATACTATTGTATTTTGTAGAGATTTTGAATGGTCTGGAATAAACGAAAAACAGAGATGCAGCCAACTCAGGACCAGACAAATAAATCAGTGAGCTCTCCCTATTTAACGCCTGGAGTGAGGCAATAGCATTCAATTAATAGATATTTGAAGAGGTATTTTTCTTCAGAGACAATATTGCTGTTAAACTCTTTTTGAGCAAAAGATTCTGTGTATCTTTGGACAGGACAGAGCTTGTGATATTTTTACTAGTTTTTATTTTTGAAATTTTGATTTCTACAACTAATGGCAAGCTGACATGTTAAAGAAACTAGGAAATATTAGGCAAATGAAAATTTGCAGCTGACAAATGGAAATGGTCTCAAACCATTTTCTGACTTATGGAAATGGTCTCAAAGCTTTAGGAACCTGTAACATAATATGTGTATCTAGATACACATATCCTTGTCAGCCTCTGAGGATTTTCATGGACATAAATCTAGCATGTTCCACAGCCTCTCATCAGCTGTTTTTAGGTAAGTCATGGTTCATAATCCATGGGAAAAATGTTTGCAGGCATTCTGGTATTGTAGATTTTAGCTACTGTAGGTAGTAGCTAACTACAGATGTATTGTAGAGGGACTGTTGGATTAAAAAATTGCAATGATAAAACAAGAAGAGTGTTTTCATACTGGTTTCAATCCAGCAGTAAATGTAAAATGGGAAACCAGCTATGTTTGATGGTTTGTGCACTTTTTTCCATTTCTTTAAAATGATGCACTTACCCATTGTTGAAGTCCAGATATGCAAACTGTAAAATAAGTTTCTTGAATAAAACTATTTCTATATTAATTAAAAAAAAAAAAATCAAAGCCTTCAGTGTCTCCAAATAAATGTGATAATTGCAGCACATACAATGCTTGAAATACCAGAAACTATTTGGAGCCCAGTCCTATGTTAGTTCAGACCAGCCATGAATTCAGTGTCCCTAAGCTCCTGTCTCAAGGAAGGAATAGTTAATTAGTGCTGTACTGGACACTGGAGTCCCTAGACTCTCCAACCATGATGATCTGTCATGTGTGGTGGTGTGACCTTTGTCTCTGGACTTATGCAAGGCAGTGCTGGCCAAGCAGTTCTTCATGCCAGAAGCATTTCCCAAGGGGGTGGATAATTGTACTTATGGCTTTGCAGAGCAGTTTTGAAGTATAGTGACAGAATTTCTGGTTTTATTTTTTCATCTGGGTCCTCAAGGTTGAAGTGATCTTCTGTGGATTAACCAGTGTTACGGGATTCTCTGCAATTTACTACCTGGGAACAGTTGTAGAATCTCCTGGTCCTGTGCTTCTGAAAAACTCAACCATTGTGACTCTTAATATTGTCCTCATCTAGGACTTCTTATCTCTGAATTTCCTCAGTGCCACACACAATTGTGTACTTTCTCTCACCCATTAGCCTGCAGTCTTTTAGAGATATACTTTTGTTCATTTTGGGCTAATTCTTTTGCTAGTCTTTAATTTATAAGGTGAAAACATAACAGGTGACAGAACTGACAGAGGAAGGGGGGGATATTGAAGTTGTTTCCTAGTGTTTCTTCTAAATTGAAAGTTGAGTTATTCTGTCTTGGGCAAGGTGAACCCCTTCATTGTGCTTTACCATGCACACTGCTGGAGCTCTGCAGTGCCAGCTGGGCTGTGGGCTGAGAACCCCAGCGCCCCAAAACTGGAGTTCTGCAGGAGAGCAGAGGCTGGGAGCTCTGCACAGCCCTGCTGCTGTTTCAGATCAGGATTCTTTGGTTTATGGAACAGAGTTGTTCCCTCCTGCAAGGCAGGATTACTGGATTTCCAGTGTGACAGTGAAAAGTAGTAGGATTATAGGATCAGTGTGGGAACGCTTGTGTTGGAGCTCATGAGCTTGTCTGCTGTGAACTGTGTATTTAAGACTGCTGATACTCTGAGATGAGTAATGACACCTGTTATACAGATATTTGAAAATCAGATACAAGTGTGTCCTTTAAAATTTCCCTTCAATAGGTTGAGATTTGTTTATCATGGCAAGTATCTGCATATGTAGAGAGAAAGTATTGATATTAAGCTGCTAAAGCTGAAGCATTTGAAGATCTCTTCCATGATCCTAAACTTTTAGCATAAAAATTCTGGTTATGATTTCTCTGCTGCCATGAAAAATGGAAGTTAGGCTTATTTTCCAAAGGATCCCTTTAACAGATGGATTTTCATGCTTAAAAATGTTAAGTAGTTGTGTTTCCCCTCATCAGGTTTTGAAACTGTTTCTTTCAGTAGAGTTGAAATAATCAGCTGTGAATCCTTTTCTCTTCTTTGCCTGTCTCCATGGTAGTAAAGTGATTTAAATTGGTATGTCATCTCAGTCCTTGTAACAGTGCCATCCTTTTTAAATATGATCTGTTTTAATCCCCAGTGCTGAGATTCAGATAGTACTCAGACCCAGATCATAGCTTCTGCTCTGCCATGTAGTAGTTGGAGCACTCTGCAGTGTGTTAGAAAAACAAGGGTCTAATGTCATTAAGACATGTTTATAGTTTGTTTATTTTTTCCATACAGAGAAAAAGATTAATTTGAGTCGGGGGGGTTTTGGTTTTTTTAAGATGTAGGAGAGAAAAAGAAATGGAATTCTTCCTTGGAAGAGCAGAATTTGTTTCTTGGAAGTATTAACCATGCTTCAACAGTAACATATATTCCCTGTCAGATTTCTGAATTTAAGGAAATGATAAAGTAATCAAATTTAAACTCTAGATGAACTGGTGAGACTCTAGATATAATATCTCCATTTGCTAACATATAACATGAAGTGTTTAAAAAGTTTGACCATACACACAGGTCACATGTGAAAAAATATTTATCACAGGAGGGCCGTTCAAGATATTTATGGTTTCCAAAGAAGAGAAAATATAGTTTACCATTCAAGGAACTTTAGTTAGTAAATAACGTTTATTCCAAAATATTCAACAATGGTATTGTAAGCATAATAGGTGTTAGACACTTTTCCCAGAAGCTGTATGGGTCTTACATGCAAAGTGATATACAGAGTTCTTACAAGATTTTTCTGGCATGTACTTTTTTCTTTTTTGTTTCCCTTAGCACAGGAAAACATCCATTAGTGATTCTAATCATGCACCTGTTATGTTCTCTATCTCCTTAACCTGCTCTAATGAGTTGAAATTGCTTGCTTTTTAAAGACTTCAGAGAAATTGACTGGATTTTAACAGTATTCACTAAGAAAATGTCTTGAGGTACATTCCATTAAATTTAATTGCTGCCTCTCTTACTGTACCTTTGTTAGTGTTGTATGACTTGGGAAAAACAATTTGAGTGTGTTGTGTTCTAAGCTGTTGTTGAGACTTGAATGGAACATGCAGATGTCTGCATATTAGGAACTTGACCTGTTTTGTCCATTTAACTCGGAAATAAAATATTTGGAATTTATTTGTGTAGTAATGACAGGAAGCCCCTTGTCTATGAAAGGACTCAGTAGGATGATCCAGAGTTAAACACTTCTTCTCTTGCTGCAAGTACATTGTCTAATAGTGATTAATTTCAGTATCCATTGGAGGCCTCTTCCTAACCCTGCAATATTTGAAAGAAACACATTTGGTGAATTGTCCAATCTGACATCAAAGCAGACACATTCTCCAAAGCTCTCACTCGATTCAGCGGTAATTTGTTTTGTTGGTTTTCAGTGAAGTAAAGTATTGTGACTTTATTTTAGGAACAGCAGTAAAAAATGTGATCCATATTTTGCTGAAATACTGAACAGTAAACCAGTTTCTTCTTTGCAGTAGTGGACAATATAAAGAAAGAATTTTTATTACTGAGCATTTATGCAGTAAACTCATCATATCTAGAGCAAGACTTGCTAATATGAAGTTTTTAAAGTTACTATGTGAAGTTGTGGCACTGGTGAAGGGAAGGACTGTGGTGATGTTGCTGTAAATGCTAATATAAAGCACAGCAAGGACCTCACCATGACTGAGGGAGCTGCTGTAGAAGATTGGTAGTACAGTAATCTGGTTCTTGAGAGAGCTTTTATAGTGTCAATAATAACTGGCTAGAATTTGACTGGTTTCGTAGGCACTGGCAGAAACGGAACTCTCAGTGCTGCTCATACTGCTTGAATCTTTTTATATGTAGGTAATAGAAGACGTTTTGATATGTTAAAGACTTTAAGTCTTTTCCAGCTCTGCTGTAAAACGCGTTTTCTGGCAAGAAATTATTTGTGGTATACAGAACTGAATAGGAAAGATTTAGAAAATGGATTCTAAAAGAGGTCACTGTCATTAATTTAAATTTGTTTCTAACATTTCAGATTTTTCTTCTTGCCTGTCCCCCATGTCGCACTGCAATGATTCTCTTCAGGTAATACCTCTTCCTTACTGTATTTCTGTCTACTTGTACAATATATTTTAGAAGTTAATCACTGCTTAATTATTGAAGTACTAAGGGAAATATCAAGTTGGAAAGGCATACTGGTTGAATTGAAAAATGACACCTTGAAAAGCATAAGGGCTTAAATCAGGGTCTTGGGCCCCTTATCCTTGCTTCTTGTGTGTTGGTGGGTTTGGCCTCACTTATGAACAATTCAGCTCAACAATAGTGGATTAATGCAGATAAATGTATGAGCTACTATAATTTGTGTTATGGACCTCAAACCTTTTTAACATCCTCAACCAAGGTTAGTAACTGGGCCTTGCTGGAAGCCATGCAGGCATTCTGGGTCTGACTTCAAAATTGTGGATAGGGAAAGTTAAATAGGCAAAGCAATTCTCTTTGACTTGGTTTGATATTTCTCACATCTATGCAGTTTTTTCCAAAATACTGCATATTATTACTAACCTAAGGAACCACGAGAGTCTCTGATGTGCAGGAGGCTCTATCAGGCTGCAGCAGCAGAGCCCAGTGTGCAGCTGAAGGTGCAGCCAGTGTGTTGTGGGGAGGGTCCGGTATTTCCCAAGCAGTGGTACTTGGAAATGGCTGTAGTTGCCACCGTGACATTAAACTATGCTCTTCCTTGTCTTAGTCTAGGCAAAAATGATACTGGGGGAATGCTTTAGACAGTCTTTCTGCAGCTTTTCCCTGCTGTTCCTTATTTCCGCAGGGATTATGCTGAACAAAGACCTGTATTAGCATCTCTGTCTTGGACAATGTGAAAAGTATGTCTGCTGTCCTGGAAATCTTTGTTAAAGACCAGTTGTAGAGTGGAGGCCACAATATTTGTTGTTTTTCAGAATGGGTATATATTTTTCTAACACCCTGACATGCAAATTATACATAGCATACAAATTATATTTGAAAATCTGTTTTAAAATTTTAATACCTTTTCCTCCCTCAAGTTACTTTTAAATTCCTAGGAATTTGACAGACAGTGGTGGGAGACAGTTTATTCTTTACTTTGTGTCTGATGTAAAGTAGACTGAAACAGTTCTGATACTAATTTTCTGTTCCTGTGATCCAACAGTAATTCAAAAAAGATGGCTGAATTTGAATGTTATACAAATTGTGGTGTGTAATACTACTTTCCTGCCTTGTGCTTTGCTTAGGACTTGCAGTTGCATTTTGATAAATGTAATTCTTTTCTTAAAGGGACTTTCAAATTATTAAAGCTTTATTTTGAAGCTGTTCACGCACAGCATTAAAGAAGAGTAAAACCCTTTATCAAAGATGCTATTTTAAACTCTGTAAGACAAATTAATAGTAGAATTCTAACTATTTAGCAGCTTGTATCATTAACAGGATTATGGGCAGTCCAGGCTTTCTAGGAATCCAAAGCTTATTATAGAAAGCAGTCCTACTTTAGGAAATTCTTTAGGTGTGTATTTGAAGATAGGGTTTTGTCCAGTTTTATTGCATTTAATAGTGACTTAATTCAAAGTGAAGCCCAAACAATTTTTTAAGTCTCTTGCTATGTTTTGTTGAAGAGATACTACATAAAATACATGGAAATACTGCATTTTGTTTCCATCTGTGAAAATAATATCCCATCTCTTTTGTAAGGTTGCAGATGCATATGCTGAATGGGGCCCTCTTAGCGTTGCTGTTTCCTGTTGTTAATACACGCCTGGTGAGTGTACTGTGGTTTTCTCCTCCATTTTCATTTATTTCCAAAAGATTATCTTTGGAGAGATGTCAGGTGTTTACTTTGCTTGGCCTTTAAAGTACATTTTACTGGGCTGTAGACTTCTGGTCACTACAGTGGAGCAAGAATAGCAATCATAGATTTTTGGATGTTTATAACTCAGTGTGAAAAGACAGCACTGTTGTATTGAGTGTTAGTTCCTGTCTAGCCACCAATGGAGCTTGATGGCTTTGAAAGAGGCTTTCACAGGTTTACCTTATGGCCTGTGGTCAAAATTCAGTTTCAGACTTTTCAAACTCTATGTAAATGTAAGATTCCTCAGGCCTGGAAAATGTGAAATGTTGTTGTTGGCTGTCATTCCCTCTCCCCCAGGATTTGGCACAGCAGATTTTTTTTTTCCCATGCAAGTTTTGGAATCTACTGTAAAACTTCAGTCTCCTGGACAAAAAAATTAGCCTGTTGGTGTTCTTAGTGAGATTCTTAAACCTACTGACAGTTAAATGTGAAAAAAGCTATTTTGAGTGTGAATTGAATTAAGTATTTCTAAGGTTTATTTCAAGAGCTGTTATCCATGCATGTGTAGAGGGGTGTATATGCATATATGACTATATGCTTATAATTTTTTTCATATGATTTATCTGCAAAAATATGTTGTTGCAGCTACTTGAATGTCTGTTTTAAGATAGATGCAAGTACTTTATGTTTAAGCAAACTATGTCCATAATAGAGGGTGAATTAATACTATTAACAAAATGGCTGTGGGCTTCAGACTCTATTTCAGATTTTGTTGGTGCCTCTCCACATGTTAGTCTTGACTGTCTAACTTAACTAGTGTTAAGTTATCCTGAAGTGGAAGCTTCTGGCATAATTTCATGATTTTCATTTTCTTGTAATGTATCTGTTAACTTTTTTTTTTGTTGTTGTTGTTTTAGAACCTCAGTAATTTCAAAATTCTTTTAAAACAGTAGTGTATTGAAAGTAGTGAAAATGGAGAGTTGAGATATTCACTGAAACTACAGTAGAAAGTTTCTCCCTTCTGTTATTTTAAACTTTCAGTCAAACTATGCTAAACAATGCAGTTCAAAATCTTGTTGGACTATAACAGGCACCTGAGATAGTGTTCAAAAAAAATGTAGCCTGAAACGGGAGGTCAGTCCAGTCTGTTTTTTCCAAGAAAATATTTTCCTGCCTTGGAATGAGGTTGAGGTGCCAACAATTAACAGACTCAAGCAACAAATACACCCACTTGTACTTGTTTGACATTTAAATATTGCAGTTATTTGCTACATTATTTGCCATGTGCTGATGGAATTAAATCCTGTGCTTTGGGATAGGCATTGGATAATGATAAAACTGTTTCTTGTCCGATCAGTGCTTTTGTGAGTTCTTCTAATCCTTTCAAAAATAAAGAAGATGCTGAGGGAGTTGGCTTGTTAGGCTCCCAAAAGGAAGCTGGCAAGATATAAGATGATATATAGGAGAAGAAATATTTATTTTTACTCTGTTTTTATATTCTATGGCACACAATGTAGGCCCTGATAACCTGGCTGTGCATGTAAATTCATTTAACTGACACAAAGACTCTGTTTGGAAAGTAAGTGGGTTTGCTTGGCCTTTCATGTTGCATTCATCAGATTTTAAAGAAAAGTCTTTCCACTGGTTTAAAAGTGGGGATTTTTTGCAAGCTGATGTCCTGAAAATGTTGATAAAGTAAAAAACAGAACATATGCCAGTAGTGTTGTATACACGGGTGTCAGCTCACATGGCTGGTACATGAGATGGTACAGTTTCAATGTTTTCAGAAGCTGCTATATTTTAGTCTTAGAACTATTTGGCCTGAGAGAGCCACATTCTAAATCTGTGTAAGGAGCAGAATCATACTCTGAGCAGGACTTTGAGCGCATTCCGTGTATGCTTCAATCATTGGCTGCTGCATTGTTATTGATTGTTAGAGTAATAATTCACTGCACTAAATAGTTTGCCTGTAATGGCTATGCCTGCACAGCAGAATGGAATGGGTTGTGGTAGCGCATTGTCATCTCTAAACTGGCTTAATCTAACTGGAACAGTGGGGGGCTTTTTGAGAGATTGTGCTTGCGTGGCTGGTAGCTGATAAAGCCAAAGTTTGTGCATATTTGGGCATTTATACATGCTTTGTGCATTAAAATGGTATGAGTGTGTAATTTACTGATAATGTCTAAGAAGTTGGCTGGTACAGTACAACATTTGGTATTTTTTGGGCTATGTTCTAGATGTACTACAGGAAAGACCATAATCTGAGAGTTGAGGTCCTATTCCTTTTCTGCCACACTCTACAGTCTTTGTAGAGAGTGATGCTCTTGCACTGTGCAGCACTTGAGCCAGGGTATAAATAACTAAATACTGTCAGAAACCAGAGCAAAGTGTTAGCCTGTAAGCCCACTGGAAACCAACTATTGTGTCTGAATGTTTTATCTTAATTTGTATTATGTCCACGCTCTTTTGGGGTGAACTCAAAATATCTGACTTCTGGGCTCCACTCTACTGCTGCCTTGAAGAGATTTTTCTAAAGCTGAATTCAGTGCATGGAAAGATCTCATTGCTCCCTTTGGCCTGTAGCTGCGCCAAAGAAGTTGGCAACTTCTAAGTTAGACCCTGAAGTCTTGCTTGTTTTCACAAAGAGATTCTTAAAATCCTTGATTGATGGGTGATACCTTGTGCCTCATCTTCATTTCCAGTTTCTCCTTGCATGTGAAAAGCGCTTATGCTGAATGAATCTTTTGATAAAACTGTTTATGGACAAGGCATAAGATGCAGGTGAGTTAGTTGTTCAGTACAGCTTGCTTTTTCTATTTGTTGTAGCCTGGCTGTACAACTTGAGTGCATGGTTGTACTGCAACTCTGTAGCTCTATAGCAAGAAATGCACTTCCATAATCAAGCAGGCTTCAGAACAAACCATCTTTTAAAGTGGTGAAAAAGATGTTTTGTTTAACACACAAAAAAATACTGTCAAAACCACTGCAGCATAACAACTGTTACTCTGTTCTCAAGAGTGTCCTCACACAGTGTTTGTATAACAGATCCTCACATCTCCATGGCTGTGGAAGCCCTTTTGACACCAAAGATAAATGGAGAATGCTCCTAGACAGGAGTAAGTGCCTCATGTTGTGGTGTTTATATCAGGAGCAATTGTTTCTGAAGTGGGAGAAGTACAGCTTTTTCTCCAGTTAGGATCACTGTTTTAGCCCCATCCCAAATAATTTTAAATCTCTCAATTTTCTCTCTGTGTTGTTCAACGAAGGACAGCAGGAAAGGTTCAGATTTAGGAAACCTCACAATTTTCATGAAGTTCTTGCTTTTGCATACTGTGACCTTGCTTGTGTTTGTTTTGATACAGAATACTTGGAATGAAATAACCCAAAAGATTGTATGAGAGGGTTGTTTTAGCTTAGTCCCTAAAAGAGCTGGCTGACCACCTTGGAGGTAGCCATCAGGACACAGACAGTGTCCAGCGGGCGAATGCCAGGACTAGCATAATCCAGTTGTTGGTTTTAGAATCTTCTATGTTCAACATAGAATATAAGAACTGTAGTTGAATTTAAAAGATCACTATGTTATTTACCAACTGTTTGACTACTGTTTAGGAAGAAAATCAAGCTCTCTTTCAATCTCTCTTCTGTTGCTGTAGAAACTTCTGTAATGTTTCAGTTGTCGTGCCTAATTGCTGGCCTGAAGGCCTCACACTTATAAATAATCCCAATTTTATAACTGAAACAACAAATTATATAAGTAACTTGATTATGTAATTCAACCAGTATGGATTGTTTGGGATCAGGTGAAGCTGCTGGGGACATGGGCAGCTGTTGGCCAGGTGGCAACTGGTTTGGCCAATTGGGACTAACCACACAGACCTTCATAACTGTATAAGGAGAAGAGGGCTCAATGAAAGTTGGGTGTTGAGCATGAACCTTGGTGTGTTTTGTCACATGCCTGTCTCCAACACCAGTGACATTCAGTTTCAAGGCTGTGACTTCAGTGTCTCAGAAGAGTCATAGAAAAGGAAGGCTTTTCTCCCCACTCCTTGCTTCCCAACACACAAGCCACAGTGGTAGGTCCTGTGTCTGAATTCTTCTGGCTGAAAAATGACAGGACAAGTCTGCAGTCTGCATTTGAACCAAGGCTTTTCATTATTCCCATGAGATTTCATACTTGTGGTATTGTCCAATTTTGAATTCAGAAAAATAATGCAACAGTGTGGCTTTTCAGCTCTGTAAGTCAGATGCAGTAAAAAGCTGAATTCTGAATTTTTGAGTATTTTCCACTACTGTTCAGTTTTAAATGTGCTGCTTTAGTGTGATAAATAGATGTAGGCTAAGGTACTTATAGATGACAGTGACTTCCAAATACAGTGCATCCCCTTTTCTAACTGTTAAAGAGCTAGAAATAGTTGGGTCTGGGTTAGAAGACTCAAACACAGTTATGGTTGAAGTTATTTTTAGTATTATTTTAAGTGTCTGACTTCTTAGAAGTTACACTAATTCAAATAAACACACAAATGTCTAATTATAATTTCCCAAAAGTTGGCAGCAGGTGAGAAATACCTGATTTGCTGTTAAGTGGTAACTTGTTTACACATAATTCTGCAGCTTGTCTTTAAAATCAATAAATGACTAGTAATATTATATTTTAACCAATATTTGGTCAAGCTTAGCGGTTCCATACATGCATGTAGGTTGATATAAATCAGGTCTTTTGATTTTTTGCACAGGCCTCTTCAGTAATTACATGTATATATGTATTTATATACTTTTATATTTAAAAGACCTCATTATAGAGTTCTCTATATGTCTGTCTAAGGTGGCAAGAAGGTGGCAAGACTTCTATGCTGTGGGGGTGTGTGTGTAGTTTCTGATTTAATTACTTGAGTGGTTTGCATTGTTATTGGTTATTCATACTAGCAAATAAAGGGAAAGAGCAATCTTGTGTTATTCCACTTTGTTGTGCTTCTGGCTAATTCTGGAAGTGCTGTATTTGTATTAAAGGGGATGGAATGGGTATAGTTACCTGTACTTTCAAGGCACTGACCATTGATGTTTGCTTATACATAGTTGATAAAATAACTGAAGGCATTGTCATGTGTCAGAAAGTGAATCGTTTCTTGGAACTTGGTTATTAGTGATGAGATATACTTACAAATATTTTCCTTATTCCACAGCTTCCATTTGAAATGGAGATTTATTACATCCAGCATGTGATGCTCTATGTTGTGCCCATCTATCTGCTGCAGAAAGGAGGTAGGTAGGCAGATTACTCTTTATGGATTGAACTGGTTCTGTGAAATGAAAACACTGTTTACTGGATACCACCAGTTTCATTCTTACGCTTTCTTAACCAATTTTCTCTGGTTTTAATTAATAGCTCCTGTTGTTCTGGTGTTCTAATGTTGAAGTTTTAACCTAGCTAATGAGTAGTGTCAGGCACTGAACCAAAAATTTAAAAAATACTCTTTTGCGTGAAGGGATATTTGAAATGTATTTGTGCAATGTGCATTGTCTTCTTGAGCAGCATCTCTGCCATCTTGCAGTATTCTCAGTTGTTGGTGGGATGTACTTTTAAGATTTTTACATTCTTGGATGTCTCTTGAGAAGTACTGGAACTCAAAATGAGAAAAAAAAAATAAAAATTAGCTGTCTTGTTAGATAAATCCCAGAAATTCTGAAACTCCAGTGAAATGTAGTGACACATATCACTGAAATGAACTAGATTGCTTATTATCTCTTCTGACAAGATTGCCATCTTGCTTTCACTTATGCCATAATAGTTCAGTAAGTCTGGGAATCCTAAATTGTTTCCCTGGCCAGTGATTTTTCCAGTTGCAGAGCCTCAAAGGGAATGTACTATACATTCAGCTGGTGTGATGCTCTGCCCCCATCTAGTGCTGACATGCCTCCAGCTGCATTTTCTAGCAGAGCTGGATTGTTCCATCCAGGATATAAAATATGATCATTTGTGATCCACATGTTCAGTAGCCTTTAATGAAAACCCTGAGGGTGTGATGTCAAGCAATGGAATACAGTCAGCCTCTTCCATCATGTTGAATCTATTGTGTTTTATACCAGTGGGCACCTAACAGTCCTTCTTCCTATTTCACTGTAACCTTTGTGTTGCAGTGATCTGATTGCACTGTGAAATTAAGAAAAATGATTCAAAGGAAAAGTGAAGTCTCATACTTCAAAATATGATTCTGTTTCTTCCTTTTATCAGGGAAATATGCCAGCCATGTTTACTTTTAATCCACCCTTGATATCCTAAAATTCTGGCAAATAATGCTAATGTGCAGGGTAGTTGAAGGAGTTACACAAACTCAGTCTTTGCAGGAGGAGGGTGAGGAGCAGGGGTCAAAAAACATAAGCAGTTGTGGAGTGAACTGTAGGCAGTGACAAACAGACCTCTTGTGATATCAATAAATCCCTTGCTGGCCTTGGAGTTCCCATCTGAGGTCACTTTAAGACATGTACGTCCTTTGCTTTAAAAAGGCTTGGCCTTGGATGGCGCTTGATGTATTTTTTTAAGTTTTGATTATTTGGTGTTTTGGTTAGGCTTTTTGCTTGTATCCTGGGTGACTTTATGATGCTTGTATCCCCAATTGCCTGGTTTATGTTACATATTAAGTTCTGCACATTTAAGACTGGCTCTGAGACTGAAGTGGGGGAAGAAGACACACGCAGTTTGTGTTGAGAAAGAGCCTGCAGCACTGACAGACAGTGGGGCAGACCTCTCCTTTGCTTTTAGTTTTTAGCTAGTTTTTAGCTAGCTGAGGCAGAGAAGTTTCCCTAGACTGTTTTTTCCTTTTTCTTGGATCTGTTCAAGTCTGCTCTGGACTGGAAAACAACAAACCCCAGGTGCTCACGCCTGTGGCCCACCGGGGCCTGGGCCTTTGCACTTTCCAGTGCCCGAAGGACTGATAAGAACCTGAGCGAGCCGAGCTACACCACATGAAAAGGACATTTTTTTCTGGATTTGCCATCTCATTGAACAGTGAGAGGTTTTATTGTTTAATATTATTCAATTTCTGTTAAATAAACAGTTTTTTTCCACTTTTCTACAAGGAAATCTTTTCCCCGAACCAGTTGGGGGGATGGGTCACTTGAATTTGCTTTTCTGGGGGGACCCCCAATTGGAGGTTCTCTCCCAAATTTGTTCTAAACCAGGACAGCTTGCTTTGAAGTAGAGGTTCTCAGGGTTCTTCAGGACCTGGGACTGACAAGAACTGGATTTGGAGTTTGAAAGGTTTGATGTTGGACAGTTGTCACCCTGATTCAGTATTCTGAATGCCTGCCCTGTATGTATTAATGTACAGGTATTTGCTGCCATCTAATGTTGATGGCAGTAAAATCACTAAAAGAACTTAGTTGGCTAAGCCTGTCAATTGAGATTGCTCTGGGCTGTTTAACTAATAAATGCTCCATTTCTTATGCACTTGGCTCCTTGTCACCTGATGGGCTTGTAATTAACAAAACACCCATGAACTCCTGTCACAGGTGACCTAAGGCATCATTTTTGATGCAGAAATTATGCAACCTAAAAATATTTGTCAATGTTAATTTTGTCATTTCACTAGCACTTATGTTTAAGTACCTTCTGAGTAGATCACACAGGCCTTTGTCCTGTATCTTGTGAAAATTACTTTATCATTACTGACATTGATCATCATGCAGCTTGATTTCAGTGTTGTAAATAGAAATTTCCATCAGTAAATCTGTGGATTATGATTGAGAGAAGTAATTGAAGGGTAGAAGATTGAAAAAAATGAAAAGTACTGGATTGTATTTGGAAAAATATACTACCTCTGTTTTATTATGAATGTGCCTATATTCCTGAGGATCCAAATGTTTCTCAAAGGTAGAGTGAACAGAACACCAGAAGCAGAGTGGATTTGAAGCTCAGTCTATAGAGAACTGCACCCTCAAGTATGACAACCCTAATCAGGCATTGCACTAGCTATGCACATATATCCAGCTCTCTGCCGAAGTGTTTCCTCTTTGAAAGGAAACTGGAAAACAAGGGCAGTAATAATTTATTTTTTTTCTTGTCTTGCTATTTATTACCATGGTGCAGACTGGTCATGCTGCAGTGGCACCCATCATGTCCCTCCTGACCCTGTAAGTGTGGGAGCTTTATCACACTTAGCAGCATGTGGATGAGAGAAGGTTTTGGAACTCAGGCTTCAGTGTTGCACAGTGAACTCACTGAAGCTCAAGAACATGGATCCATCTTGGGAATAAAAAACTCCTCTTCCTCTTCCCTCTCATTCCCTCTCTGTACTGAGTGAATATAGATTTCCATACTTACCTTTCTCAACATTTTCTTTCCAAGTGCATATATGCGTGTTTACACAGACACCAGGTTAGACAAATTAAATGCTTTTACAGCATGGCTCATCTTTCTTGGAGGCACTAAGAGGCTCTCATGCAAAATAGATGTAGTGTGGATGAAACAGGCTAGCACAAGATTCCTAGCTCAAGTCAGTTCTTACATAAAATATATCTGCAGTTGCCACTTTTATTTTTCTGGATGAATTTCACCTTGTGTCACCTGCCTCGCAAAACTGCAGTATGCATCTGTGCAGGACACAGCATTCCATAAACTGCTGGAGGAGTTGAACCAGACTTCGTGGGTCACTGTTTTCTCTTGTCCTTAAGAAGTGAGACTCTTAGAGACCTTCAGTGGGTTCAGGATGGCTAAGTTCTTAAACTGTATGTATATTCTTAAGATAATGAAAAAAAAATCTTGTTTGCACTACATCAGCTTTAGAGACTGATGATGACTGTTTCTGTCTGTCTTAAGCTTATTTGGTCAGTTTTACAATGGATTTGACAAGATCAGGTGTGTATCTTATTTCAAAACATCAAATCATACTGAAAGGTAATCAAGGTGGAGTTGTTATTTCCTTAGTGCAGTGATCAAATTATATTCTAAATTACATTATTCCACAGCAGATTGAAATAAAGGGTTAATTTGTAGCAGCTTTGTAGCAGCAGAGCTGAGGAGATAATCTGCCCTATTGCGTTTTGATATCCCCAGTGTTATTTATTTGACTTAGTAGCTCCAGTAGGTAGAAGAGGCTGTTGGCATTGAGGTGTTTAGGAGTCTGTGGCTGCAGGGAGCGATGCTGAGTGGCTGTCTTGCAGCCACAGGCAGGGCCCACGCTCAGCCCAGTGCTGGTGTCACTGGGGCTGTGCTGTGGGGCACGACCAGCACGTGGGGCTGTGCCCTGCTTCTTCCCTGGGGCTGCGTGGGGAGAGATGTCACCCTGGAAATTGAAGCCTTCTGATGTTTTCATAGTTTTAGTTACTTTCCCATGAAAGTAACATAAACATAAGTTGTTTATCACATTCCATCTAAGAAACCTCTTTTGATGGACGTTTCTCGTGACCAGTGTGCTTGGGAAGGTGGTAACTTGATTATCTAATCCCTGGTCATTGTTGAGAATCTATAAATACTGGAGTCAGAGAATAAAGGCACTGTTTTTTGTTCTGACACTGAGAGGTGTTTGTGTGAATAATTTTGTGTCCTCTAGAGACAGAGAGAAGCTCCAGTGTTTGGGTGCAGGGTGGGTGCAGGAAATCCCCTTTGTGAGCCAGACTGGGCAGTGATGGTCTTGTGAGTGCTGGGCAGCCCTGTGGGTCTTAAGAGCCGATTTGCCAGTAAATAATTGAGTTGTTTGCTGGGAATAGAAGCAGAATTTTCTTCTTAGGCAAGTACTGTATCTTTATAAGCAATGAAGAGCCAGTGTCTGACTCAAGTCCTAAAGCCCTTTTCTTTGTTGATCCAAGTGTCTTCAAAAGTGGCATCAGAAAAGAAGTTCTATGGCTCTGTCACATAGTCAGTTGAAGTTGTTGATTTTATTTTCATTTTCTCTCTTCTCACTGCGAATGCTTCTGTTGTGCTCAGCAGCTGGGCAGAAGCAGCTCCCTCAGAGCAGGACAGTGTTCCTGACCTCAGAACAACCTGGACTTGTTGGAAGATGCAGCACACAGATACCAAATACAGATGACAGGATCATTTTTCCTTTGGTTGTCAATTAGGAAAGTGCAATTAAAACACTAAATTTGCGTTTTCCATTGGCAGTTAGGACTTGCTGGCTAGAGTGGGTGATTACCATATTTAAAGACCTTTTTTTAGCTGTTGCACCCTATGTCAGCCATTTTCCCACTTTTTGACACTTACCTGTCTTTAACTAACTCTTTCCTTAGCTTTTTAAAGGAGTTATCAAGCAGGTTTTATTATATAC